CTGAACGTAGGTGAGATAACAGTACACGATTGATCACTGAATAACACAGGTTTGAACTGTGCAGGTGCCCTTGTTTTTTTTTTTGTTTCTGTTTTTGATTTAAAGACTTTATTTATTTATTTGAGAGAGAGAGCAGAGTGAGAAAGAGAGACAGAGCACAAGTAGAGGGGAAGGACAGAGGAAGAGGGAGAAGCAGACTCCCTGCTTAGCAGGGACCCCAATGCAGGACTCCATCCCAGGAGTGTAATGTAAGACATTTAACCAACTAAGCCCCCCAGGTGTCCCTGCAGGTGCCCTTGTACATGGACTTTTTTTTTTTTCAATACAGTTCAGTACTATAAATGTATTTTCTCTTCCTTATGATTTTTTTTTTTAAGATTCTAGTCATTTATTTGAGAGGGAGAGAATGAGAAGAGAGATGTCAGTGGGAGAAGCAGACTCCCTGCTGAGCAGGAAGCCCGACGTGGGACTCGTTTTCTTTTCTCTAGCTTAGTTTATTGTAAAAATACAGTATGCAATACATATAACATGCAAATACGTATTAGTCGACTGTGTTATCAGTAAGGCTTCTGGCCAACAGCAGGCTATTAGTAAAGTTTTTGGGGAGTCGAAGTTACGTGCGGATTTTTTGACTGTGCAGGGTTGGCGCTCCTAATCCCCATGTTGTTTATGGGTGAGCTGTACTTATAATTTTACATACAGTAGAGAAACTTCTAAAATTATGTGAATTTGTAAACAATTCTAGGATATTTAATTGAAAGACAATGGTTCAGGGCACCTGGGTGGCTCAGTGGGTTAAAGCCTCTGCCTTTAGCTCAGGTCATGATCTCAGGGCCCTGGGATCGAGCCCTGAGTGGGGCTCAGCAAGGTGCCTGCTTCCCCCCTCTCCCTCTGCCTGCTGCTCTGCCTACTTGTGATCTCTCTCTCCGTCAAATAAATAAAAATCTTAAAAAAAAAAAAAAAAAAGAAATTTAGCATAGAAATTCCCACACAAGTAGGCACAGATTTATATAACAAGGATGCTCACTGGAAAATTAGAAATTAATGTTCTTCAAAGGGTGCTTGGGCAAATAAGTTATGATCTGTTCATTAATGGAGATTTTGCAGCCACTGAAAGATATTTCTATATAGGAATATAAATTAATTGGGAAAAATAAACAGCAGGTTACAGGAGGGACTGGGACTAGAGGCAGGGCCTAGGCCTAGGGCACAGTTGCTAAGGAGACACTCACTCCTTTTTTTTTCTTTTTTTGAAAGAGAGAATTTGTGAGAGAGAGAGAGAGGGAGAGAGCGTGCGCGCACACGCGCGCACATCGGGCTCCATGCTCAGCAGGAAGTCTGCTTCTCCTTCTGCCACAGCTGTTCCCCTGCTTGTGCTCTCCCTCTCTCTCTGACAAATAAGTAAAATCTTTAAAAAATTAACAATTGTATAATTTTGGTTACAGAAAAAGCAGGGGAAGATTTTCAAAAATGATAGGATAAGCACACAGAAGAGTTCCATGTGCTATGTATGAATACTGAATTTGAATACTGAACTGAGTACTTTGTGTATTGTGGTTGGTATCACATCGCCGCTATGCAAAGAATGAAATAATGAAAAAGGTGAACAAGTATTAAATGCTTTTAAAACATATATTTTATTTTATTTATTTTTTATTTTATTTATTTGACACAGAGAGAGAGATCACAAGTAGGCAGAGAGGCAGGCAGAGGTTGGGGGGAAGCAGGCTCCCCGCTAGCAGAGAGCCCGATGCGGGGCTTGACCCCAGGACCCTGGGATCATGACCTGAGCTGAAGGCAGAGGCTTTAACACACTGAGCCACCCAGGCACCCCAGAAACATGTATTTTTAAAAAATTGTATGATGGGGTGCCTGGCTGGTTCATTTGTGAGAACATGTCACTCTTGATGTAGGGTCACAAGTTTGAGTCCCACATTGGGTGTAGAGATTATTTAAAAATAAATAAACTTAAAAGAATGTATGACAGCATTCTCTCTGTTAAATTACATACTTGTGAAGTAGAAATTCAAGTTACACAAGCAAGAGCCAATTTTAGCTTCTATGTGAATAGTGTCTTCCCATACATGCCTTACTCTTCTCTCTAGATAAAGATCAGATTAGTTGTTTTTTATAAGGGAATTTCAAAGCAGTTTAAAGATATTAATTAGTTCTCACAGTTCTGAAGTGGGGGGTGTATTATGATGTCTGTTTTCCATATGATAAAACTGATAGGCTGAATGATTTCCCATTATTCTATACCTCATATTATTAGTGAAACCAGAAATACCATTACCTAATTGGCCAAGTTTTCTTTCTTGAGAAGAGATTAAACTAATTTTGGGGTGGATTGTCAAACTAAATAGGTATTTATGCATCAAACTTTTTGTTAGAAATAGAAACATAGGTATTTTTATTTTTACACTTTCTAAATAATCTAAATTAAAAAATAAGTAAATTTCTAAAAAATCTAAATAAATATAATTTCTAAATAAATGATTAGAAAAAATTATTTCTAAATAATCTAATAAATATAATATACTTTCTAAAAGGCTAAAAAGCTTTTAAAAACTTTTTAAAGTATTCTCCACAGGCAGCATGGGGTCAACTTGAGGCTTAAACTCAAGACCCCGAGATCAAAACCTGAGCTGAGATTAAGAGTCAGATGCTTGAGGGGATGCCTGGGTGCCTCAGTTGGTTAAGCGGCTGCCTTCAGCTCGGTCGTGATCTCAGGGTCCTGGGATCGAGTCCCACATCGGGCTCCTTGCTCTGCAGGGAGCCTGCTTCTCCCTCTGTCTCTACCTGCCACTCTGCCTGCCTGTACTCTATCTCTCTGACAAATAAATAAAATCTTAAAAAAAAAAAAAAAGTGTCAGATGCTTGGGGCACCTGGGTGGCTTAGTCAGTTAAGTGGCTGCCTTCAGGTCAGGTCATGATTCCAGGGTCCTAGGATCAAGCCCCGAATCATCTCCTTGTGCTTGCTCTCCATCTCTCCCTCTTGCTTTCTGTGTCAAACAAATAAATAAAATCTTTAAAATAAAAGAAAGATGCTTAACTGACTGAGTCATCCAGGCACCCTTGGAGCATTTTAAATTTACTCTATACCCCAATAGATGATTGGAACAATATTTTCTAAATTAAAATTTTTATTTTAAAATATATAGACAGAGGTAAGCTCTGTTGTAGTTCCATCAGAGATCTGCTTTGGGTATTTTGTCAGTTATAAGAAAATGTACTTACAAACAAAGTAATGTGGTTTAGTGACTAGGACCTACTTTAAAAAAGTTTTTTTTTTATTAACATAGAATGTACTATTTGTTTCAGGGGTACAGGTCACTTACACAGTTCAGAGCACTCTCCATAGCACATACCGTCACCAGTGTCCATCACGCAGCCACCCCTCCCTTCTACCCCCTTCCACTCCAGCAAACTTCAGTTTGTTTCCTGAGATTAACAATCTCTTATGGTTTGCCCTCCGCTCTGGTTTTGTCCCGTTTCATTTTTTCCTCTCTTCCCTCAAGATCCTCTGTCTTGTTTCTCAAATCCCACATATCAGTGAGACCATATGAGATACGATCATATCAATCAGAGAAAGATATGAGATGATATTTTTCTCTGATTGACAATTGACTTATTTCGCTCAGCATAATACCCTCTAGTTCCATCCACTTCGTAGCAAAAGGCAAGATTTCATATTTTTGATGACTGCATAATATTCATTGTATATATATACCACATCTTCTTTGTCCGTTCATCTGCTGATGAACACCTAGGCTCTTTCCATAGTTTGGCTATCGTGGACATTGCTGCTATAAACATTGGGGTGCACGTGCCCCTTCGGATCACTACATTTGTATCTTTAGGGTAAATACCCAGTAGTGCGATTGCTGGGTTGTAGGGTAGCTCTATTTTCAACTTTTTGAGGAATCTCCATGCTGTTTTCCAGAGTAACTGCGTTAGCTTGCATTCCCACCAACAGTGTAGGAAGTTTTCCCCTTTCTCCGAATCCTCGCCAACACCTGTTGTTTCCTGACTTGTTAATGTTAGCCATTCTGACTGGTGTGAGGTGGTATCTCATTATGGTTTTGATTTGTATTTCCCTGATGCCGAGTGATGTGGAGCAGTTTTTCATGTGTCTGTTGGCCATCTGGATGTCTTCTTTGTAGAAATACCTGTTCATGAAGGAGACCTGCTTTTAAAGATCCTGGTCGGGCATTCTGAGGGGATACAATAAATTCTTAGAAAAGGCAGAGTTAAAATACACTTCACTTGTGCCACTACTATACTAACTGCTTTATTCATGGTATCTCATTTAATCCACAACATCACACTTCTCATTTCACAGATGAAGAGAGAGCCTGATGGTGAGACTTACCCAAGTCATGTGAAATAAGATAAGAAGGCAGGCAGGATTTTAAAAATCAAGTCAATAGGGGCACCTGGGTGGCTCAGTGGGTTAAAGCCTCTGCCTTCAGCTCGGGTCATGAACCCAGGGTCCTGGGATCGAGCCCTGCATCGGGCTCTCTGCTCTGTGGGGAGCCTTCTTCCTCCCCTCTCTCTCTCTGCCTGCCTCTCTGCCTACTTGTGGTCTCTCTCTTTCTGTCAAATAAATAAAATCTTTAAAAAAAAATCAAGTCAATAAAACCAATTTGAAAAAAAAAAAGCCAATTTGATCTTGCCATGTTCTCCTTTTTGTTTTTTATTCCCCCACTTGAATCAGGTGCATGATTTTATGCTGCCATTTTGAGCTCTATTTATGAAGATACCCATTTAGACAGCAGTTATAATCTCTTAAATTCTTTTCTTCTTTTTTAAATTTAAAATCAATTAATTAACTTATAGTATATTAGTAGTTTCAGAGGCAGAGTTTAGTGATTCATCGGTTGCGTATAACACCCAGCGTTCATTCCATCAAGAGCCCTCCTTAATGCCCGTCACCCAGTTACCCCAGCCCCCCAGCCACCTCCCCTCCGGCAACCCTAAGTTTGTTTCCTAGAGTTAAAAAAAATATGGAATGCTCCAAGAATCTGTGTGTCATCCTTGTGCAGAGCCCATGCTAATTTTCTCTGTATTGTTCCAATTTTAGTATGTGTGCTGCCAAAGTGAGCACTAATCTATTTAATTCTTGATCAAATTTTTATGCAGTGACAGTGAAAACTACGTCCAATTTTTTTCTATCCTCATTTTTCTTCTACTGAAACAATTATGTGCAAGCTCAACTTTTTCCACATACATTTTACAGTGAGATTCATTTCAGCCATCAGGTTTATATCCTAGTCAAATTCTGTCCATTTTTAACGACTGCTATGGTGAGCTTTCTTTCTAGCTCTTATATTCCGTGAAAGTTGATTTTTCCCTGTGACCCAAAGTATTCATTGAATTAAAGAAGTAGGGTCAAAACATCCCTTTTTACCTGTGCAAGAATTCAATATAGGTTGTTTCTTACGATGGTAATGAGGTGACAAGTATTAACTGCTCTAGCCACCTCACGGGAGGGAGGCTCAAATGCCAAAAATAGATATGAAAGTATTTGTAAGGTGTAAAAGTTAAGTAAATGTCACTTTACTGATTGTTAAAACAAGTCATATAAATCCAACCTCCTGCAACTGTTCTAGAAGCCAAACACCTTCCTATTCTTGCTGTAATGTTATTTGCAAAAATGCTTGCAGACTTCAGCTGATTTTCTAAGTATATCCTAGTGAGCTGGTGACTTCACTCACTGTTCTCTTGTCATTTGTTTTCCATTCTGACCTCATTAATTTTTCTTTCTCTAGCCCTTGTCCTGAAGTCCTCGGTGACGCGGAGACCAGGCTTGGTACAGTAATGGACTTGTACCATTGGTTATCGGTTCCATCATCTTGGTTGCGGTCACTGTTGCATGAGACTGAATGATAGATGGTGTTACTGGCTGTCCGTTGTTTTTAAAAAAACTAAAACAAACCTGTGACCAGATAGATGCTATCTCAGCAGGGTGCAGGTACACTGTTCTTTTAAGAAATTCTTCTCTTATCACCCCTCTGTCTCTTGCTTGATACACTACTTGCTTATGCAAGAGTTTTGAAGGGAATGGTAAGGCCACTGTTAACCTAAGCAAAGCTAGCAAATTCTAATATTTACTTTAAGGCCTAAAGTTTATAGGTTCAGGGTTGTTTTTTTTTCTTTCTTCCCCCTTTCTATATCTTGAAACAGCTTAAGATTTCAAGCATTGTTTTCAACAAACCACATTAATTATACATACACTGATAATATTAGGTCAAGGCCCATGAGAAGGAAATGATCCAAATTTCATCACATTGATTTGTCCTCCTCCTAGGGTTAGTATAAGAACTAAGAGATCTTTCCTTTAAGAATCAGCTACATTTCTTGTATATAGTTTTGTTCTTAAAAGGTATCCTGCAGGGACGCCTGGCTGGCTCAGTCTGCTCAGGTCATGATCTCAGGGTCCTGGGATGGAGTCCGCACTGGGCACCTTGCTCAGTGCGGAGCCTGATTCTCCCTCTGCCTGCCGCTTCCGCTGCTTGTGCTCTAACTCTCTCAAATAAATAAAATCTTTAAAATAAGTAAATAAATAACATTTTTAAAAAGTATCTGCAAAAGGACTGAAAGTTTGAAGATTAGCAATGTAATTGTTACCGGCAAAATGCCTTTCAGTTCCTTTTTAAAAAAAGCTTTATGGAGATATAATTTGCAGTATAATTCATCCATTCAAAGTGGACAACTCAGTAGCTTTTAGTGTACTCATAGAGTTGTGCAAGCATCACCATGATCAATATTGGCATGTTTTCATCACCCCAGCAGGAAACACCTTAGCCAGTACTTGTCACTCTGGATTTATTCCCAACTCCTTGCTTCCTCTACCTAACCCCGCCCTTCCCCACCCTGCACCCCTGCAACCACTAATCTACTTTCTGTCTCTAGATTTGCCTAATTCTGGACATTTCACATAAACGGAATCATACCATATGTGGTCTTCTGTGACTGGCTTCTTTCACTCAATGTATGGATTTCAAGGTTCATCCGTGTTGTAGCATGTATCACTACTCCATTAATTTTTATGGGTGGTTTTATGGATGATTTTTTATGCATGGATATACCACATTTATTTACTCATTTATCAGTTAATGGGGTTTTGAGTTTATTTCCTCTTTATGATTATAATGAACAATGCTGCTATGAATATTTGTGTAGATCTTTTTTCATTTCTCTTGGGTATATACCTAGGATTGGAATTACTGGGTCATATGGTAAATCAATGCTTAACTTTTGAAGAACTGTCAAACTATTTTCCAAAGTAACTACCATTTCACATTCTTATCAGCAATATCTCACGGTTCTGATTTCCCACATCCTTCTGATGCTTTTTTCTTTTAATTTTAATTTTTAAAAATATTTATTTGACACAGAGAGAGACTGAGAGAACGCAAGTAGGGACAGGGGCAGAGGGAGAGGGAGAGTGCAGGGAGCCAGCTGGCTTGGGGGGCCCCAATCCCAGGACCCCAGGATCATGACCTGAGCCAGAGGCAGATGCCCAACCACTGAGCCAACCAGGCGCCCTCCCTTTCGATACTTTTATATATCTTTTTTATCTTAGCCAACTTAGTGAATGATTTTGATTTGTATTTCCCTAATGGCTAAAGAAATCAAACATCATTTCATATTTTTATTGGTCATTTGCATATCTTCTTTGGAGAAATGTCTATTTAGAGCCTTTGCCCATTCTTTTTTTTTTTTTTAAGATTTTATTTATTTATTTGACAGACAAAGATCACAAGTAGGCAGAGAGGCAGTCAGAGAGAGAGAAAAGAGGAAGCAGGCTCCCCGCGGAGCAGAGAACCCGATGGAGGGACTCCATTCCAGGACTCTGGGATCATGACCTGAGCCGAAGGCAGAGGCTTTAACCCACTGAGCCACCCAGGTGCCCTGCCTTTGCCCATTCTTAAGTTGGATTTTCACTTTTAGTTTAGGAAATTCATTTAATATCTTAAATTCCTCTGAAAATTTCCTGCTGTTTTCTCTGCTACTTAAAAAGTATGTCTTATTTCCATTCACCTATTTATTCAAGTAAGTTCTGTATTTTTTGAGGACTTAATATGTATCAGATTTATGCTAAATCCTGAGTGTAAAGTCCCAGGCCTTAAGTAATTCATAATCTCTTGTCTTCCTAAAGAGATAATTTGCAATACAATGGTGTAAATGCTATTGTAGACCTCACAATGGGAGATAAAATTGGCTTAACAGAAAAAACCTTTCAGGGATATGGACAAGAAGGTTCTAACTAATACTGCAGATGAAATATAATGGAGACAAGTTTTCTTGCAGAAAATTTGCAGGGCAGAGCTCTGGCCAAGCCTCGTCAGTAATACAATTGATAAATTCTCTATTCGAAGCTAGCATTCAGAAATTACAGGTTTAGAAAATATCACTGCTTTTGCAAATAATAATAAAGGCATCGATATCAAAAGCCACCTTGCATTTCAGCCAGATCTGCACAGTTCAAGGACAGATAAAACATATAAAACACATAAAAGAAAATCAGCATTGGACTACACGAGAAGATAAATCAAAACAGAAAACACAATTTAGCCATCTGCAGCTAAAGATTTCCACCAGTTCTATAATGAACAGGAGGTGAAAATACATACAGAATCTTCTGCATTTCTTCTATGGTTTGTTATAGACAGGCATACTTGTGTTGACTGCATACAGGAGCTTTTCTATACTATACGTTTTAGCCACTTGGTAAGTTGTTTTGCTATCTTCATGATCCTTTGCTTGAAGACAGCACTCCCATTCCAGCTAAATATGTGAATCTGGTGGATCCTGCCAGGGACAATTAAAATTCTAGTGCCCGAATAGTTTATTTAACCATTTCTCTTTCTATTCCATGAAGGGCTTGAGGAGACTTACATAGATGATATAATACAAAAAAATAGAAAAAAATAAAAATAAAAAAGATAGGGGTGCCTGGGTGGCTCAGTTGGTTAAGCATCTAATCTTGATTTCAGCTCAGGTCTTGATCTCAGGGTTGTGAGTTCAAGCCTGCATTGGGCTTCACATTGGACATGGAACCCACTCAGTAGAATACATAAATAGGGGCGCCTGGGTAGTTCAGTGGGTTAAGCCTCTGCCTTTGGCTCAGGTGATGATCCCAGGGATCGAGCCCCAAGTCGAGCTCTCTGCTCAGCAGGGAGCCTGCTTCCCTTCTTCTCTCTCTGCCTGCCTCTCTGCCTACTTGTGATCTCTGTCAAATAAATAAATAAAATCTTTTTAAAAATTTTTTTTTAAATTTTAATAAAATCTTTAAAAAATACATAAAAACTTAATAAGTAAATAAAAATTAAAAATAAAAAGATAGTCACAAGTCTAACCAGTAATAAACCAGAGTATTACATAGAATATTAACATATCTAGAAGATTTTTAATAAATATTAGGGCATAGTGCTGATTATAAAGTGTCATCTGTAATTCGTTTTTTGATAATGTTCAGAGAATTTGCTTAATTTTTTTTTGCATTTCCTTACCTTGAGTATAATATCTAGACACCAAAGACTACTTGTATTTTGTTTTTTGTTTTAATTTTCTTTGTCTAGAACTGCTATTTGAAATACATTTTTTCTAATTTAAAAAATAATACATTGTAGGAATTCAAAGTGTATCAAAAACTATAAAGAAGAAAATAAAATTAAAAATCACCCAGACTCCCCTCCCCTCCCAAATCAAAATCAGAAACAATAAAAATAGAAAAGGAGGGGCGCCTGGGTGGCTCAGTGGGTTAGGCCTCTGCCTTTGGCTCGGGTCATGATCTCAGGGTCCTGGGATCGAGCCCCGCATCAGGCTCTCTGCTTGGCGGGGAGCCTGCCTCCCCTTCTCTCTCTGCCTGCCTCTCTGCCTACTTGTGATCTCTGTCTGTCAAATAAATAAATAAAATCTTTACAAAAAATAGAAAAGGAAATTTATGCCACTCCAGAGTGTGAACAAAGCTTTTTGGGAACTCAAAAAACAAGGCAGGTAATGATGATCTGGGAATTGGAGAATGCTTAACCCTGCAATTATGTTGGATTTTGAAAAAAAAAAAAAAATAGACCAGAAGATGCCTGGAGCAGGGGCAAG